TACAGAATGTTTATGCTAATGGGGCCATAAACGGAAGCATATAATAATGAGAAGTCCATTGAGCTATGCCAACATGAGCAAAATTATGAAGCTAACCTCATAACACATTCAAACATTACATGCCCATGCAAAAATATAAGTACCATAGGAATTTGTACATATCGTTTACAAACCCAAGACCATAATAGCAAAAACAAAATAAAGTCAAGGTATGGTGTGAGTCAAAGACAACTATATCTCAAAGGTAGGAATAGATTGGGTCACAAAAATAGCTCCTGAAGCTGACTCTAGGAGTGGGCTTTGTGCTGTGGATCACCTACATGTGCATACATAATATTGGGTGAGTGAAATTCAATGAGTAATAATAAAGTAAAGCAGTGTAAATGGATAATCATAAAGTTCTCACAATATCCATAATCATATAAACAGAATGGCCTTGGGCCCAACATATATCAAAATGGCCTCGGGCCCAACATATATTAAAACGAAAACAGAACGCCCTTAGGTCCACATTACACATGTCATATAATATTAATGAAATTTCATCATTTTGATCAAATCACAATGTCGGCACCATTCATGGTTCGAGGTACACAGTAAAGAACATATATGTACAATACTATTACTCACAGTGTGTTTGATCTCGTGGCGTCTCCCCTCTAACACGACCTACACAAGCATTTCACACGCACATTCGATAAATCATTTGTTTAATTTGTACACTTTTCTTTGATAGTTCACAACCTTTTTAAAAGGGTTTCTAATCATCATTTCACTCCCAAAAGGATTTAAACAAGATTGGGAATGCATCCAGGAGATCGAGGAATCAACACAAGAAAACAAGATTTCTCCCCTGCCTGGCTGCTCATGCGGCTAGACCCACTGCTTGAGCGGTCTGGCTCCGTTTGTGTGGAAATGCGAGCTGCTCGAGCACACAAAACCAAATTCCAAAATCATGATCATGCTCCACTCGTGCGGAGCCCGTGGCCGCACGAGCGGTCTAGGCAAAAGCTAGACAGTCAGAAAATATACAAAATGAAATCTTCCAAACTCATTTCCGACTCCAAATTCATGCAAAACCAACCCAAAAACATGATATACAAGCATGATACAAGTGTAATTCCACATTAAACCTATCAATCTTGCTTCAACATCAAATTTATGGTCTCATCTTTTCACAAATTCATGATTTACATATAAAAGTTCAAAATACATAAATCTGTGAATGATCTTCCAACAAATCTTGTTTGTATGAACCATCTAGAGTTTATTTCATGGATTAATCACAATATTGAATTCAAATCAAACAAAAATGAAGAGATTTCTTGATTTTATTCCAAACCCTTACACAACTCAAAACCCTAGCTCAAAATTCCCAATTTCTTCTTGATTTCAGGTCAAGGATGAGTTAGAGACAAAGATTATAAATAGATTATCATACCTTAGCTCAAGTCTAAGGTTTTCCCTTTAATTCTCTTCCAAAACCCTAGTTTTTTCTCTTTCTCTCTCTTTCTAACTTACTCTAGCAAGCTCTTCACCAAATGAAAAACACAAGAGACCAAACACAAATATAACTTAACTCATAAATTCTAATTCAATCAATACGAATAGTAATTTTTCAAAATTTCACCATAAGCTTTATAAATCATGCTAATCATAGATATGAAGTCGGGTTTTGTTTATCGCGTCTTTAAGGCTTTCAATTTCAGTTCAAAGTTGTAATTGCAACATATATTCCTACGTTCAGCATATATTATTCCAAATTCACATAATTCACACATTCAAACTTGCAAATTCATATTAAACACATAATCACATGCATAATTAAGTAGAGTACGAGTTGGGTTATCACAGTCTTCCCCCCTTTAGGAAGTTTGGTCCTCCAAATTTGTTTACCTCAAGTTGAGAACAATTTTGGATATCATTGTTTCATTTCTTCTTCCCATTCTCAAATGGCTTCATTTCCATGATGTTCCCTCCATTCGACTTTTACCATTGGAATAGTCTTGTTTTTTAGTTGCTTGACTTGCCGATCCAAGATTTGGATAGATTTCTCCTCATAAACTATATCGCTATCTAGCACAATCTAGTGATAGTCAATTATATGAGAAGGGTCCCGAAGGTAGCCTCGCAACATTGATACGTGGAACACATTGTGTACTTGCTCCATGCTCAGTGGTAAAGTAATTCGATAGGCAACCAGACCCAATCTTTCTAAAATCTGGAATGGCCCTATGTACCAGGGTGACAATTTCCCTTTCTTTCCAAACATTGTGTGCCCTTTCATTGGGGTGACTTTGACAAAAACATGATCCCTAACTTCAAATTCTGAGTCTCTCATTCTTTGGTCTGCGTAGCTTTTTTATCGGCTTTGAGTAGTTTTCAATCTCTATTAGATAATCTGCATTTTTTTTGTAGTAACTTGCACGATTTCGGGTCTAATAAATGTTCTATCTCCAACTTCTGTCTAACAAACCGGAGTCCAACATTTTCTCCCATGCAAAGCTTCATACGATGCCATTCCGATACTGGAGTGAAAACTGTTGTTATATGCAAATTCCGCCAAAGGTAGATGAGTTTCCCAACTTTCATAGAAATCCAAAACACACATCCGAAGCATGTCTTCCAACATCTGTATAGTTCTTTCAGATTGTCCATTAGTTTGTGGATGAAATGCGGTACTAAACCTCAATTTCATCCCCAATGCTTTCTGTAAACTTTGCCAAAATCTTGACACAAATTTAGAATCTCTATCTGACACAATGGAAACCGGAACACCGTGCAATCGAATAACTTCAGCAATGTACACACTAACAAGCTTATCAGCATTATAAACAGTCTTCACAGGCAAAAAGTGATTAGGCTTAGTCAATCTATCCACAACAACCCATATGGAAGCCGTATCTCGGGGTGTTCAGGGTAAGCCCACAATAAAATCCATAGTTGTGTACTCGCACTTCTATTCTGGAATAGGGAGAGGTTGAAGTAACCCCGCCAGCCTTTGGTGTTTCGCTTTTACTTGTTGACATTGAAAGCACCTTGAAACAAACTCTGCAATTTCTCTCTTCATATTTGGCCACCAAAAAGCTTTCTTGAGATCTTGGTACATTTTGGTGTTTCCTGGATGCATGGCAAATCTGGACTTGTGAGATTCTTCCAAGACTCTTCCTTTAATTTCGGAGACATTAGGAACACACCATCTTCCCTTGAATTTCAACACTTGAGCTTCCAAAGAAAATCCTAGTCTTGGCTTTGTTTCGATCTTGTCATGTACTTTCTTGAGAAATTTATCCTCCAATTGCCTTTGTTTAATTTCCTCAATAATAGTCAGTTGTGTTGCCATTATGGTTAACATTCCATCCCGTTCATGTAGCACAATCTCCACTTCTATTCTTTCCAAGTCACGTAATAGTTCATTCCGCTCCGTAAGGAAACATGCTAAATTTCTCATTGACTTTCTACTAAGAGCATCGGCTACTGTGTTGGCTATGCCAGGATGGTAATGAATTTGCAAGTCATAATCTTTGATGAGTTCTAGCCACCGTCTTTGTCGTATATTAAGCTCTTTTTTAGTAAAGAAATATTGGAGGCTCTTGTGGTCGGTGTAGACTTCACATGTTGCTCCATAGAGATAATGCCACCATATTTTCAATACAAACACCACTACAGCTAATTCTAAATCATGCGTAGGATAATTCTTCTCATACGACTTCAATTGTTGAGATGCATATGTAATCACTCTCCTATTCTTCATAAGTACACACCTCAATCCCTTATGAGAAGCATCACTATAAATAACAAACCCTTCTGTACCTGATGGTAAGGCAGGGATCCGTGCTGTTGTGAGCCTTGTCTTCAATTCTTGAAAGGCGGATTCCATCTGTTTCGTCCACTCGAATGGAACACCCTTTTGAGTCAACTGGGTAAGCAGCACTGCAATCTTGGAGAAATCTTAATCAAATCTTTGGTAGTAACCCGCTAAACCCATAAAACTGTGTACTTCATGTAGGGGTAGGCCAATTCGCAATAGCCTTTATCTTCTGCGGGTCAACAGACACACCATCCTTGTTAATCACATGCCCCCAAAACACAACTTCATTCAACCAAAATTCGCATTTCTTCAATTTAGCATATAACTTATTGTCTCTTAGTGTTTGAAGAACGAATCTCAAGTGCTTTTCACGTTCCTCCCTACTCTTTGAATAAATAAGAATGTCATCAATGAATACCACCACAAACTCATCCAAATATAGTTTGAAAATTCGATTCATTAAATCCATAAAAGCTGCTGGTGCATTCATAACCCCAAACAGCATGACTAAAAATTCATAATGGCCGTACCTGGTTGGGAAGGAAGTTTTCTCAACATCCTCTGATTTGATTTTCAACTGATGGTATCCGGATCTTAAGTCAATTTTTGAAAACACTTGTGCCCCCTGTAATTGGTCAAACAAATCATTAATCTGTGGTAAAGGATATTTATTCTTTACCGTTACCTTATTAAGTTCATGGTAATCGATACACAACCGAAGGGTCCCATCCTTCTTCTTTACAAACAAAACGAGTGCACCCTATGGCGATGTACTCGGTCGAATGAACCCTTTGTCAAGCAATTCTTGTAACTGTATTTTTAATTCCTTCATTTCTACCGGAGACATTCTGTACAGAGCTTTTGAAATCAGTTGAGTACCCAGTACGATATCAATAACAAACTCAATCTCATAGTCTATCAAGTACCCCGGCAATTCCTCGGGAAATACATCCGGAAACTCACTAAAAATTCAGATATTTTCAACACTCGTATCGATTACATCTACATGTAAAATGCTATACAAATAACCTTTACAACCTTTCTGAACTAGTTTGGAAGCTTTCATAATTGATATCAAATAGCGTGGAGGGACTACCCCATGTCCTACAAAAGTAAACTCATCTTGACCCAGTGTGTGAAAAACAACTTGCTTAGACACAGAATCAATGGTTGCATGATACTTAGCTGACTAATCCATCCCCAAAATTATATCAAAGTGCACCATATCAAAAGGCATCAAATTAGCACATAATGGGATGTCCCTAAGAAAAAGCTGACATGCAGGATACATAGAAGCACATAACATATAGTCCCCAGATGACAAGGACACACACAACACATAATTCAACGGTTCCATAGTTCTATTCAAATGAGGAGCAAATGTTTTTGAAACAGAGGAATGGATGGAACCCGAATCAGGTAACACATGAGCAAGTTGACCATTGATAGATAGTGTACTTGAAACCACAGCATCTGAATTCTGGACATCATCCAGAACAAGAGCAAAGACTCTTCCTTGCCTAACATTGCCTTTAGAAGTAGTAAGCTTTACAGGGGTCTTTATTGTAGGAGTGGAACTAGCTGAACTAAAATTTGGCATATTCCTTTTTTGTTGCCCAAATATAGGACAATCTCTTATCATATGTCCCATTTTCCCACACTTACAGCAAGCCCCGATTGCTAGGTAGCAAACTCCATGATACTTCTTTCCATATTCTGGGCAAGTTGGTGCTAAATCACGGGTAGAATCGGAAGCACAGGAAGTCCACAAATTTTGGTTCTTGTTTTGTGAGGACGCCAACCCTTTGTGCATATCAAAACCCTGCCTTTTTCCCTTCCAATCCGAGCTTCGGTTGCGGTTGGCCTGGTTACTTTCTGCTATGATGGCCCTATCCAACACATCCACGTACTTCTTTACTTTCAACACATTAATTTTTTGAAGAATGGAGTCTCATAGTCCTCTCTCAAATTTCATTGCCTTTTTGTAGTCCGTATCGACCATATACGGTGCGAAACGGGCTAGCTCAGTAAACTGTGCCTCATACTCCGCTACAGTTTTGTTCCCTTGCTTTAAGTTTTCAAACTACGACACCTTCATGTCTCGGATACTCAGCGGAAAGTACTTCTCATAGAAGATCTCTAAAAATTGTGCCCAACTTATTCCTTGATATTCCTTTCGGATAAACATCCACCAACGGCGTGCCTCATCTTCTAGTGTAAAAGTAGCAAACAAAACTTTATGTACCTCTATACATGGATAGACTTTAAACTGTTTCTCTATGCTAAGCACCCATGCCTCTGCCTTCAATGGGTCGATCCCTCCTTTGAACAATGGCGGTTTCATCTTCTTAAATTCCTTTGTGAATGCAATAGTTCGGTCGTTAGCTTGGCGGTCTTGCACTACAGGTGGTGGCACAGGCATTGGTGGCGCTGGTGGTTGTTGTTGCTGTTGTTGTCTAAAAGCCTCTGCCATGTCCATGATCATTGCTTCCATTCTATCAAGTCGTGCAGAGGTTGAATCCTCCTTATCTTTTGCCCTTGTTTTCACCTTGATCTAGAGGAACATACATTATAACTTTCACAGATAATATGCATATAAGTCATATTTACAAATGCACATTTTCATGTCATACCTGATATAGAATGCATTATGGGTGCAACTTAAACCTTTTCTAGACTTATTACTCAAATGGACTTGTGTGTGAGATATTAACTTGTGCTCTGATACCACTCTGTCATGATCCGAACCCGCCCCTAAAAGTTTGGGTCATAATCAGCTAGTAATCCGTAGGTTACCGAAGGCCTCAAACGAACATACAGAATATTTATGCTAATGAGGCCGTAAACAGAAGCATATAATAATGAGAAATCCACTGAGCTATGCCAACATGAACAAAATTATAAAGCTAACCCCATAACATATTCAAACATTTACATGCCCATTCAAAAATATAAGTATCATAGGAATTTGTACATATCGTTTACAAACCCAAGACCATAATAGCAAAAACAAAATAAAGTCAAGGTATGGTGTGAGTCAAAGACAAAACTCCATCTTAGAGGCAGGACTCGATTGGTTCACAAAAATAGTTCCTGAAGCTGACTTTAAAAGTGTGCTTTGTGCTGTGGATCACCTACATGTGCATACATAATATAGGGTGAGAGAAACTCAATGAGTAATAACAAAGTAAAGCAGTGTATATAGATAATCATAAAGTTCTCACAATATCCATAATCATATAAACAGAACGGCCTTAGGCCGATCATATAAACAGAATGGCCTTGGGCCCAATCATATATCAAAACGACCTCAGACCCAACATATATCAAAACGACCTCAGACCCAACATATATCAAAACAGCCTCGGGCCTAATTACATATCAAAAGGGCCTCGGGCCTAATATATATCGATCGGCCTCGGGCCCAACATATATTAAAACGGAAACAGAACAACCTTAGGTCCACATTGCACATGTCATATAATATTAATGAAATTTATTCATTTCGATCAAATCACAATGTTGGCACCATTTATCATTCATGGTTCGAGGTACACAATAAAGAACATATATGTACAATATTATTACTCACAATGTGTTTGATCTCGCGACATCTCCCCTACCACATGACCTACACAAACATTTCACATGCACATTTGATAAAACATTTGTTCAATTTGTACACTTTTCTTTCATAGTTCACAACCTTTTTAATAGGCTTTCTAATCGTCATTTCACTCCCAAAAGGATTTAAACAAGATTGGGAATACATCCAGGAGATCGGGGAATCAACACAAGAAAACAGGATTTCCCCCATACCTGGCCGCTCGTGCGGCTAGACCCACCGCTCGAGCGGTCTGGCTTCGCTTGTGCAGAAATACGAGCTGCTCATGCGCACCGAACCAAATTCCCCAATCGTGATCATGCTTTGCACCCCGTGGCCACATGAGCGGTCTAGACAAAAGCTAGACAGTCCGAAAATACACAAAATAAAATCTTCCAAACTCATTTCCAACTCCAAATTCATGGAAAACCAACCCAAACACATGATATACAAGCATGATACAAGTGTAATTCCACATTAAACCTATCAATCTTGCTTCAACATCAAATTCATGGTTACGTCTTTCCCAAATTCATGATTTACATATACAAGTTCAAAATACATATATCTATGAATGATATTCCAACAAATCTTGTTTGTATGAACCATTTGTAGCCCGACTCTTTTCGCGCCCCCTTTCGGAAGTTCAAAAATATGCCCTACAGTTTGGACTCCCACAATTCTGAATCTAATCTCATAAGTGCCATGTGAAATTGATAAACACCAAAGAGTCTAAATCCGAAAAATCGTTTGGAAAATCGATTTTGAATAAAAATGCCAAAATTGGACTATTTTGCCAGATACAAAGTCGCCACCTAAATATTTTTGAAAAATTTAAGAAACTCATGACTCGTGCCAAAGGCCACGTGTCCGTTATCACCAAGATTGTCTCGGCTCGGGAACTTAGGTACGAGAGGGAAAGGTCATGAATCGAGCACTCCCGCTAGCCCGATCAAAGATCGGCCTCTACTAATTATAATATGAATTTTATGTACATTACGGTTTATTAGGCTAGCATTACTATGTAATGTGCACACACAAGGTATAGATTAGTTTGCTTAAATTGGAACAATTCAATTTCATGTTTGTTTTTCGAAAAGGATTTGAATTTGTCACTTGGCAAAAGTGGGCTTAAAGCTTGTGAATTTGCCACTTTGACAAAATAGGCTTAAATGTACATTCATCGAATCATTCCAATTCAATCAATAAGCCTTCATCCATAGGCATTTAAACAGTTTAACAAGTAAGCACTTAGCCTCATGGCAAGTATGCTAGTCATGACAATCACTTACACTCATGCAAGTATGCTAAAGCACTAAAAAAAACTCACCTAGTACTCCAAGCTAAGATAAAAGAAAAGAGTTAGAAAAAATATGCATGTTACCTAACTGTACAAGATGACTAATGCAAAAATGCAACTAAAATAGGCTTAGCTACTTAAATGTTATTTGCAACAATTTTATAACATGCGTTTAAACACATATTCAACGAGGTAATAAATGACAATGCAAGTTTGATTGATAAACTGAGCCTCGGTGTATGTAAGACAAATGAATGAATGCAAACATGCGATGTGCTAATTGAAACGTGATGCCCCTAATCTAGCCATCAAAAGTGGATAAATAAAAAGGACAAAGACTTGGGGTTGGAAGATATACACATTATTACAACATTGATGCCCTCGCGCAGGAGGGTCCAAATGAATAAACTAGTTAATCTAAACTACTTAACTAATTATTACAAAACTTGAATAAATAAGCTAGCTATCTAAGCTAATTAATTAAATAATTACAATAATGAACTAATTTAATTAACTATTTTAAGTTAATTAAATAAGTACAATACGAAGCTAATTAGCTAACTATATTAACTAATTAATTACAAAGCAACTAATTAAACTAGTTAACTAATTAATTACAACATGAATTAATTAACTAAACAACTAATCTAATTAAATAATTACAACGCTTTAATTAGCCACAACACAACAATGACTAACTAATTAATAATTAAACTAATTAACTAGTCTGGGAACGAGGGAGGCCCAATGCATGCTCGGTTTGCACTCGAAGAACTTCCACTGTTTGCTTCCGAAAGCGTCTGTTACACAACCTTTGCACTGGTTTTCCTCTTCCAAACCAACTCTGCTCTGTTTTGCAAATACTCTCCTCAATTTTCACTGGTGGCCCGCAAGCCAGAAGTGGTGGCCGGTCGACCACCAATAAGGGGTTGCCGTCCAACACTAATGGCCTACAGGCCAGAAATAGTGGCCGGCCGGCCACTGATGATGCACAATTTCTTGCTGCAACATAGAGAAAAGAGAGCAAAGAGAGGGTATTCTCATAGGTTGTTTGTACTGTGTATTCCTCCTTATCATCAAAATAAGCTCAAATGTGTGATACACTTGGTTCAAAAACCATCAATCAAGCAATTTCATTGCATGATGGCTAAAGAACCAAGGTGTACAAGTTAATAAATGCACAAACAAGACCCACAACCTTCACCTTATCATGCACGATCAAGGGTAATGGAGACCTAGGAAACTTGGCACGTTTCATCACTTTGAGTATGAAATGCCCCAATTTTCCTTATGTTCAATTAACGTCCAATTGAATACACTGAAACACAATCAAATTCTTATCTTTTCAAAATTTTTAGTTACTCATTTTAATTACCCTTCCATTCTTTAACCAATTAAGTCCATTGGTGAGTTAAGTCCTCTAAAAGAGAAGGAAGTGTTAAACAAGGGGTAGTTTAAGGCAAGAGAGATGTGTCATGCTGTTGATAATGAACCTCCAAAAGAGGATTAAACCATTAAGCATGGACCTCAATCTCGAGCTTAAACAATCTTAAGGTTGACACAACTCTCAAAGCAAATAAAAAAATCAAGAAATGAGAGAGGTTGCAGAGATTAAGCTTGCTAAAATTAAGTGAGAAAAGCACTAAAACATGCAATTAACTCAAACAAGTGGTGTCTAAAGGCCTAAAACACCAAGTTTGTGAGGACACTTACACTAGAAGCATGTAAAACAAGACTCAAATGACTTTAACAGCCCAAAACAGAGACAAAACAGTCTAAAATACAGCCTAAAACACGTTGGAATTAAGCTACAAAAGGTTAGAAAAATATGCTAACACATAGAGCTATCTAGGCTAGCAAACAAAACACAAGGAGAGGAGGCTAACCTCTCCAAATTTAGACTTCAAAACATGATTTTCACCACTGAAAATACTCTGAAATTTAGTATCTAACAGCCCAAAAAAAGATGGTTTGAAAGTGGAAAACAAGGGTAGAAAGGCCTTACAAACAAGGAAGAAAGAATGGTTGACCACCCTTTAACTTCAAATGGCCTAATATCACATATTTCAACCCATAAAAAATAGGGTTTTTTACAGCCCAAAAACAGCCCAAATCAGTGGAAAAAGATAAGAAAAACAAGTATGCAAAGCGTGTTAAAAAGGCAAGTGTTATACCTCTTGAAGGGAAGACCAACTCTAGGAAACAATTCAAGCCAAAACTACCTTCTAGAGGTCCAAGAAGGCCTCAAGGAACCTTAGCTCAAAGATAAACCACTTTGGTTAAGGCTACCTTCTAGAGGTCCAAGAAGGCCTCAAGGAACCTTAGCTCAAAGATAAACCACTTTGGTTAAGGATGTGCAAGCAAAAGTGTGGTGTATCTAAGCTATTATGCACAAACTTACACAAGAGAGAGAGAGAGAGAGAGAGAGAGAGAGAGAGAGAGAGAGAAATGTAAAGAGAGAAAGAGATAATTTTTGTTCCAAAAATTCTAACCTTAAAAAATGGGGGAAGAGACCCCTTATATATAGAAAAACATGCACTTGGCTGAGATATATCCCTCCATACACGTGTAGGGAGATGCAACCAATTGTACCAACAGTTGGCACAACTGCCAATAAAATATCTTAAAAAAGACACTGATGGCTGGTAGG